TGCAACTGCAATTGACCGACTATTAATTAGGCCAAAGGCAAAGCCCAAAGCAAATGATGAAACTTCTTTTTGTAGAGTATCCAAGTTAGTTTTTGTTTTGATATGGGCAGAGCTCCTTTTCGGGGCTTGTAATTAAACATGGCACTCGCATGCAAATAGTTTTCGCCACCCAAAAGTTGACCCACTTTAGATTAGACTAGATTGAAGTTTAGCTTGTCTGGGTCCTCGACTGTGTCTCGGGCCTGCTTGTCACTCCAAGCAATTTGCATATCAGACATGTGTGTGTGCCTGTGTGTGTGTATTGTTAGCTGGGAGAGTCTTGCGATAGGCTTGGAGCTGCATTTTTCGTCTGGCCAGTGCTCAGTTGCCGAATGACTGCTCATTGTCATTTCGCCTGGCCATATTTTGGCCCGACTTTATTGTAGGCCAGCAGCTGGCAGCCGCCAGGGACTGGCTCAGATCTGGCGCACACGCCTCTCCTGCCCAACTTGCATTCAGGCCCAAATGTCAACATCAGCCAGCTCCATTGATGGCCAGCGCGTTGCTACGCATAATGTTTCGCTACTCTACAGAATGCAGAATAGACCGAAGCTTGGCAGAACGTTATCTATAGCTGCAACGAAATCATATAATAATCTGATAATTTATATGCGACAAAGTTGAATTTAAGAATTTTATGCTTGGGAGTGGTAGGAAATATTATTCGAAACTTAGCTAAATTTATATTAAACGTCTTTAATTAATTATTAAATTTAAAACTTTATCATTGTATTATGTCTATGGCAAACTTCAATTATTTCAGTAAAATCTTAGATGTTTGCAGCGCATTTGCTTTTCGTGGCAGCCACAAGCTCAACTGAAAACCACTTGGCGCTGATTTTGTTGCTGTGGTTGTCAACGGTGTTTTTTGGCAACGGACAGCAAACTGCATCATTGTCACTGTTGCCAGCTTTGACACATAATTCTCGGGTTACATAAATCGCATAACTGTGTCATGTCTCAGACGCGCTGCGAGCCCAAAAACTGACCCAGCAGCAGTGCACGCAACATTCCAGCTGCAATTTAAGGTGCAGATGCAGATGCGGATACACATGAAGTTAAACTTGCAGATACTCATTCTGCGTAACACACTTTCCCAGCCAGGGAGAGAGAGAGAGACAGCAGCAGAGAGAAAGAGAGAGAGGGGGAGAAAGAGAAGTTCAAGCATTGTCGCATTTAGTTTTGAAGTCAAGTATTGCGCACTGAGCATCTTTAGAATTGGCTTTTATTATGCTAATTTTATATTCCCATTGTTCCAATGCACGCATATCACTTTATTATGAGCCCTTGAGGCAGTGGCCAGTGGGCGCTTGGGGCAGGAGCAGCGCATTTGCATGGCGGCTGCCATTTTTGGTCAGCCAAGTCCTCAGACTCGAATGTATGCAAATTTTTTTCGGTTTTCTGCTTTGCTGCTACTCAACTCGAGCAGTAAGTCAAATCACAACAGCTTTGAGTTTCCTTTGTGCTGTCAGCGACGAGGCAATCATCAATAAACCGGCCAGCAGCAGCAAATGTAGCAGCTCCACATGCCTCCATAGGCCTCCACAGATAGCTCCACTTCTCCCAACAAACAATGTTGAAATCCAGCCTAAAAACAAAAAAAACCATTAGCACAATATCCAATGACAACAACAGAAACAAGCAAGAGGAGTTAACATTAGCTGAGCTAAATAAAAACAATGAAAACGAAGATACACTACAGGAGGATGTTCAAGGGGTAGAGAATGTTGAGCAATTCTACATAAAATAAATTTTGAACATTGTTAAAATATGGATATTTAATTATTAAAATATTTTAAATTTCACATATCCAAGAAGTAAAACGAAATAAATGAAAAAAAATAAATTAAAGAAATAATATAATATAATATATTTTTTTGTGAAGTTAATTTTTTCAAAAATAAAACTTTAATATTCACATATCTAGGAAGTGAAACAAAATAAATAAAAATATAATTAAATGAAGAAATATAACAATATATTTTTTTGTGTAGCTAATTCTTTCAAAAATACAATTTTAATATTCACATATCTAAGAAGTGAAAGGAAATAAAGAAAAAATAATTAAATGAAAAGAATATTAAGAGATATATTTTTTTGATTAGTGTTATTTTCATATTAATATTATTATTTATATAAAATACATATTATTTATAAACATAAAATGAAAAATTAAATTTGAAGCAAAAACAATTAACTAATTAAATAACATTTAATATTAAAATATATTATATTTACTAGCATGCAAGATTTCACTTAAAGATTTTACGATTATATGTAGATATTACTCATTCTGTTGGATTGTCTCAATGGCATGCATGGTGTCATTAGTAGTATCGTAAATTTCTGCAAAAAGGATAAACTGAGTGACCTTGTCGAGTGATGAGCCCAATGAAAAATGAAACAATGTTTACTCTTTGTCGTCCTTATTTCACATACGTGGATAGATTGCAGCTCATTCAAGCCAACTTGCAGCTCAAGACTACACCTTCTGGACAGCAGGGGAATCCCCAAACAATAAAAGATAAGAAAAAAATTTTGATTTATATATAGTCTCACAAATCCTAACTAGCTAAGAGACAGAAAGCAGAGTCGTAAGATAGTAAGTTGCATCAAATAAATAATACAGAATAAATAATACAAAAAACTTAAATTAAATAGACAAACCTGAATCTGAATCTGATAAATATTTTTAAAACTATATACCTTTATCTATAATATATATATATATATATTATATATATATATATATATATATATATATATATATATATATATATATATATATATATATATATATATATATATATATATCTTGATGTTACAAACCGCATGGAATTTTCAATATGCCCGCTGAATATTGCAGTTAACTGCACAAGTTTACATACTTTGCGGCAATTGAACATTTGTTTTCATTCAGCGCCAAGTTGCATTGAAAAGCGTACCGAAAAAGTGATTGATGTCGTTGCAGTCGAGCGCCAATAAATTATCAAAAAGAAAAAGAAACAAAAAAAAAAAAACAAACGCCAAAATATAAGGGGAAACAGTTGTGAGCTGACCAGATGCTCGAGTGGTCGAGTTAATGATTTGGCAATAATATAACATTTGTGCACAGAGCCTGGTTCAATACATTTAAGTGGCAAGCGGAAAATTGGGCGGCAAATTCCAAGCGTTGCACGCCGCGTATGAGTAATGCGCGCTAACAATAACAAATCAATTAAAAATAACAGAAAAAAAATGGGAAAACATGTTGAACGCCCACCAGGGCCAGAGCATTAAGCCCAAACTTTTCATTGGAGAGTTTGGCAGGCAGGGAATAACACGATTTACGGGGCGACAATTGTCTCGCTGGCTGCCTGTCTGTCGCTTGACTGTCCCTGTAGCTGGCGAAAGGTGCGCCTGCGCATTTTTCACAGGCAACACGAACTGTTGTTAGAGCTGGTTGCATGTGGCAGCCGTTGCTGCAGTTGCAGCAGTTGTTGTTGTTGTTGCCGTTGTCGTTGCCGTTACTTTCTCGGCCCCGTTTGCCACATCCGCCTCAGTCGGCTGTCAGCTTGCCCAAATTGCGTATTCGCTGGGACAAAGGTGCACCAAGAGGCACAACACTTTGCTGATTCGCTGCCAGGTTGCATTGCTTTTATCTATGTATGTGCATCTTAATTGTCAGCTGCTCTGTAAGTGTGTATGTGTGTGTGTTAGTGGGTAACTGGGCATGTTTGTGGCACAATTGAGGACCCAGTTGCCAGTTGCCAGCCGAGATGGTACAGGAGGCAGCACAGTTAACCACAATTTAGTTGTGGCTTAGTTCATGAGCTGTCATTAATCGAGACAGCTAGCAATGATTTAGTGCTTAGATATGCCCTCCAGTCAATTACAGATCAATGCAACTGTGCAAATACTTTTTTCCTCAACAAATTTTCGAGTTTCGTTTCGGTTACACCCTGGGAACGGGGTTAACTTCGAAAGAAACTCTGCTCCCATTGGAGCACATGTATAATATCATCGGCATTTATTGCAATTGGACTCTGAGTTTATAGCTGCTTATATATAACTAATGGATCGTCACATGTTAGCAGGACTTTAAAATCAAATATATTTAGCCCTAGTAGAGCTCTAGCATATCCCTTTTAATTTTTCTGTAGCAGCCAGATAAAGGCGAAGCGAAACTCAAACATTATTTTGTATTATTCATCAGGAGGATGAGCATAGCTATGTCTGTTATGTCTAGTTATGTCTGTGTCTCGGTCTCTCTCTCTACCGCTCTATATTCCGCCCTATCTTTCCTTCGACTTATCCATCGCTCAGTCTCTATCTTTCTTCATCTTTCTCTCCGTTTTACTCTCGGCATCGCTCTGTTGATCTTTCCCTCTTCATGTCAACCTATTCATCTCTCTCCCGCCATCTTTTTTTCCGCAACTCACTCTCTTTATTTCTCTGTCTCCATCTCTGTCGCTATCTCTATTTCTCAATCTCTCTTTCCACTTCACTCTCCATCCATCTCTATCGTGTCTCTCCATCTCTCTTTATCTACATCTCTCACTCTTTACATCTATCGCTTTATCCATTGCTCTATCTCTCTCTGTCTCTCTCTCCATCTCTCCCTCTCCATCTCTGTCTCTCTCCACCTCTGTCCCTCTCCATCTCTCTCTCTCTCTTCACCTCTCTCTCTCTCTCTTCACCTCTCTCTCTCTCTCCATCTCTCTCTCTCTTCACCTCTCTCTCTCTCTCTCTCCATCTCTCTCTCTCTCTCTCTCTCTCTCTCTTGATCTCTTTTTCCCTCTCTCTCTCCCTCTCTCTCCCTCTCTCTCTCTCTCTCTCTTTACCTCGCATTATCTCTCTATCACCCCTTTCTCTCATTCTCCATCAGTCTCTCTCTCTCTTAATGGAGAACATTTTCGATAACTTTTAATTTGTCAGTTGCAAGCATAATTTCAAGCATAATTTCAAAGATTTAGGTATAGTTAAATATTGTACATTTAGCAAATATATAATTTGAAGTTTAATTAATTGTAAAGTTAAAGCGTCGCATAGGCGGACGAATGGTCGGAGAACTGTTCTGGCTTATTTTGACAGTGGTTGGGGGCACCATTGGGATTGTTGTTGAGGGTTTGTTGTTGTTGCTGTTGTTGATGATGTTGTCCGTATTGATCTTGTCGGTGTTGTTGCTGAAGACGGAGTTAGCGTTGGCCTCGGCTGGAGGTGGCAGCAGGGCTGTATTGTGCAGCTTGAAGCCATAAATGCTGCAAAGGAATATGCTTTGAATATATAACGGCTTGGCGAGCTGAGAAGACGGGGACTGACCGTGGCGTATACTGCTCCTTGGGGGGATCCGGCAAGAGATGCGGCATCTGCATAAAGAACATATGCGGAAAGCTGCTGCCAAACATAGCGCCATCGAGGAGCGCGCAACGCGGGTGCGGCTGATAGACGTCCCTGCAGCGCGGACAGTAGACCTTCACATGCGACTCGCCAATGCGATCGGATAGGCCGACAGGCAACACCAGCTGCCCGTTGCAGTAGATGCGCGGACACATTCCGAAATCGCCACTCTGATATTTGAGGCACATGTCTTCGATGCCTCGCGTGCTCAGTATGTAGCGTGCGTGGATCAGGCCATATAGTTGGGCCGTCAACTCGGGGTCCGCGTCCATTGGATTGAAGCCATATTCCGTGTCGAACTCCAAGTCGAGTATGGCATCCAGGGTCTGATGGAAGCTGGGCACCAACAGCTCGAGGCCAGTCAAGTTGAATCTGTCCTCAATATATTCCTGCGGCACGCGGCAAAGAAACGTGTTTACCTGCAGATTAACAAACCAACCTATCCAGGTGCCATCCGGCATAACAATGTGACTGCTGCATACGTACACACAGATGCGTATATAGATATATATGTATTTCCGTACACACACATACATATATATTTATATACAAACACGTGTATATATGACAGATCTATTAGTTAGCAATATATAAATAATTTCTGTGGCACTCACTTGTGTGACATATTTGTTTGTTTTGATTATCTTTAGCCTGTTTGACGAATTTCTAAATATCTCTAGCGGTTGAGTTGAAATGTGAAAATATTAGTGTATGCACTTAAACCTGACATTGACAACCGACTGATAAGTGCGTCGCTCTCTTACAGTTAGCTGGCTTACTTTGTTTTCAGCTTGATAGCTTTTAAGAAGGGCTTTTCGTGTTAGCCAACACTGTTTTGGAGTGTGCACAACTGCATATAAATACTATTGCTTTCTTTAAAGTCTGTTTCAATTGTCTCTTTCGGTAGGAGTTTCTGCATTAAGCAACACTGTTAGTAGATAAAGCATTTATAAGCAACACTGAAACTAGCATGAACTAGCAGTAATTCGCTTTAAAAGTTCTTTTTAACACTCTCTACTGACATAAGCCAACACTATTCATCTTTAGAACCTGCCTTGTGGAAGTGTATTTAACAGACAGAAGAATCTATGGCAGACCCCACATAGTTTATATATTCTTGATCGGTTGATGAGCTGAGTCTATTTATTTATTATGAATAAAAATCGTTCTCCCAGTCGGGCAGTGCTCACAGAGAGCTTTCATATAAACACTAAGAATTGAATTAAATTTTATTAATAATTTCGATTAGCTAAGCGATGGAAAAATCTTATTTTCGCTTGTAACAGACAAATGAAGGCAAATGGGCGTCAGCTACGTCGATCTAACCTCATCCACCTGTTTGTTAGTAAGATGCATACCTTAACACATATAATAATATATTTTAAAATAATAAGCCACAAATAAAATGTATTTATTTTTGCATTTGCATCAAGCACAGAGAGTTGCATTCTGTTGCTTCAACAAGATAAAAGTTACATGCTTTTCGCATAGCTTTCAAGATACTTGATTCCAGTTAAAAAGCTTTGCCCTAAAGTAGAGGCTTCCATATGCCGCCCAAATAATTAATAATATTGCTGAGCAGAATGTTGGTAACAGCTATGGCCTTAATTAGGACAGTGCCAGAGACAAAGACCAAAAGCCGCATATGGCATTTCGCACTGCTGCTCATTTATTCAGCAAGCGAAATTCACTTAAGACGCGTGTGTGTGTGTGTGTAGCTGATTATTGATCGAAACGTTGCAGCAGCCATTACATTTCCGGTTTACTGACTCGTTGCAATTGGAAAGCGCTTGCGCCTGCGCGCGTCTTTAGCTTCAGGTGCATATGAAAGGCGTTTGGGCGAGGACCAAGGGGCAGGCGTGAGAGTGAGCGGTGGGTTAGCCGTCGCGTCATTCATTCGTGCACTCATGAAGTGCAGTCAGTGAGTCGGCCAGCGCTTACTTGTCATTTGATTAATGAGACCACGCTCAGCCATCGATCTCCATTTAGCAGGCAGCCCTTTGGCCCCTCTCCTGCCGAGCCGCCTTTCAGCCAGCTGGACAGTTGGCGAACTGAAAGCATGAATAATGGGGGCGTTGCCAGCTTGGCTACAGGTTCGAAAATTCGCAGCACCAACAAAAACAACAACAAAAACAACAACAGCAGCAGCAGCAACATTGTTGTTATGCCCCTTTTAATGGCGTTCTAATTGCGCAAGTTTCGAGCCTTCACCTACGGCCATGTTACCGACTGATGCGTGAAATTTTTTCGAATGCATGTGCCTGGGTGTGTGTGCGTGTGTTGGCCCATTCACTAGGGTTGGCTACACTCAGAGACTCCGACAGGGGGCGTGCCCAGTGACACGTCTTAACTGACCAATATATAAAGCCAACGCAGCGCGTCAACGTGCTAAGCCATGGCCCAACAATGTTGTTCTTACTCTTCTTGTTGTTGTCGTTGTGAGGGCTGGGAACAGGCACAGCAAATGCAACAGCAACAGCAACAGTCAGTTTAGCCAAGCGACTGCTGCTGGCAGCTGCTCATTGACTCGTAACAGTCGAGTCTTAGACTCAACAAAGGGGCCAACAAATCAGCATTTCCAGCAAATACCCTTTAATGTTTATATCTTTGTATCAAGGTGTTAAGGAAGAAATGAAACATTTTACAATGAAAGTATTTCAGCTGAAAAACGCCTCAAAGGTCACGGCGTTGGAGTGCAGAATAAGTAGAACGAGACTGGGCAGTAGTATCAGCTGAGAGCTGTAATTAAAGAGAAAATACCCAACGTCGATTGAAGGCGACAAATATTAATTGCATTTGAGTGCGCCACAGTCATGAAGATGAGAAATATTTATGTGACATGCTCTCGCTTTCTCTGTCTGTTTCTGTGAGTCTAATTCCCTTGCCGTGTGCTGTCTGTCTCTGTCGGACGTTACTTCTATCTCCTTCTATCTGTGTTGGCTTCTCTCTAAATCGATCTTTAGGTGTATTTTCTCTCTTTAACTCTCTTTAAGTCTGTCTTTCTATCGTTCTCCTACTCTGCCCATGTCTCTGTCTTTTTGTGTATATCTGTGGATGCCTGTGTCTCCCTCTCTCTCTCTTTCTCTGTCCCTCTCTGCTTTTCTATCTGCCTATCTCACTCTCTCTCTCTCTTTATCACTGTCCGTGGGTGTATCTCACTCTCTCTCTCTCTTTATCGCTGTCCGTGGGTGTATCTCACTCTCTCTCTCTCTCTCACCATCTTGTGCGTGTCCTGCTCTCTCTTTTTCTCTCTCAGATCAGCTAAAGTGAGCAAAGCCACACGTAATTTTTAAAGTAATCTAATTTATAACTAAACTTATATATAAAAATATACTTAATTATATACTTTAAATATACTTTAATTATATATACTTTAAATATACTCTAATTATATATATATATATATATATATATATATATATATATATACATACCCCAAGTAAATATGCTTGTACTTAAAATTTACATAGCGATTTATGGATTTTTGCTGCCGTTGTGGCCAGTAAGCAAATGGGACGCGAACATATCAACGCAGAGTGTCATAAGTTTGACAGGCCACAATTTACACGTTGATGGAAAAGGATACTGGGAATGCGCGCCAGATACGCTCTACAGATATCCATTTGCTTTGCAGATGCAAGAATACAGATACATAGACAGATACAAATGCGACATGTGTGTGGGTGTGTGTGCGTACGCAAAGTGTGAAAACTCATTTGTATCAAATTTCCCATAGACAAGCTCAGGGGCGCAGAGGGCAGCGCACACACACACAGCCACACACAGAAATTGATGTAATAAACTCTACGCGCTGACAGGGACAAACTTGTCGGTGTCGATGAGAATGTGAATGAGCATCAGGAGATTGGGCTTGGGAATGAGGGCAGTGCTGCTGGTACAGCCATGTGGGGGTGCAAATCCAGCTAGACTGGACGAAGAAGACACAGATGGAGTAGATACCCTGCACCAATGGTGAGGCATGTCTGAGAAATGATAATGGAACTCAAACAAAGATTTTATGACTTTACAAAACTCCCATTTCAAAAGGCTTAACTCCAAAATTGTGTTGAAGAAAAGTAAGCGTAACATGATAAAATAATTATAATTTAATAAAAATAATTTTACAGGGTATGTGACCTCTTTGCATTCAGACTTTGTTGTGCCCCTCTACCATAGTCCGTCACTCACAAGAATGACATTTTTGACATGGTTTGTAATTGACACTTGCACTTGCTGTAGCAGCACCACCGAACAGCAGCTTCAGCACCACCATCAAACACCAAATAGCAACAACAACTGCAACAACAACACATTCTATCTGCGTGTGTGTGCGCAGCACATCTCCATCTCGTCAGCACGTGGTCCTGGCTCATTCAGATACGCTCGAAATGATTCTTTTCATCACTTACAGAAGCGAAAAAAAATAATATAAAGACGCAGCAAACAACCGCTCGAGGTGTATGCGAGGCTGGTGGAAGTGGGACAGATGAATGTCAGTTAAAATCGTAACGATAAAAAATATTTGCAGCCATTACAAAGCTGTTTTTTGCGTCCATAATATAACGATATGTTTGTTACATTCGCACCCAGCTTCAACTTTCAAGTTCTCTGTCTGCCTGAAACTCCAGCTTGGTGTCACTTTCCGCCTGTCTGTCTGTCACAAGCGAACAATTGATAGCTATAAATGATTTTTATTAGATCTGATGTGGTAAACAAGTCGCTCGTGTGTGGGCGTTTCTATGCAAGACATGGCTAATATAGCAGCAGAAGTATATAACTACAGGCAACTCAACGGTAGCTGAGAAAATGTAATCCTAATTCAGTTGAGTTAATGCAACTACGAAATAAACAGCTTAAATTGCATACAATTTGCGAGATGCAAGTCTGAATGTGACTCGAGGTTACTCTTATTCTAAAGTCAAAGTTTGTCATCTGAGGTTTAGAATAATCTATAAATAATTATATAAAATAAATAAATTAAGATTGTACCAATTGGTTCACCTTTCATAATAATTTTGCGCTTGCTTCACTATATGCTTTATCAGGCTGTCACTTATTAGTCGCCTTCTCTTCGTCTACTGACAATCATAAAGACAGTAGCCGAATAGCCTCAATAGCCATCTCGCTCTTAGTCAGCAAAACTCAGGACTCTTTTGGCAACAGCTATCTTCGTCTCTTACAAAGTCAGAATTTTGGAATAGAGCCAGAAATCTAAGATGCAACATTGCTCGGATTATATTTTTACAATAATCTTATACCAGCTTCAAGCCTCACACTAATTCTGCTGCTACAGTAGGAGTTGGGAAACAGAATTGGGAATTGGGAAACAGAAAACAGACTTTCTCATCAATTGGATTGCATCACATCATAAATTTCATAGCGTTACATCGTTCGCACGACTAGAGGATACCCTGTGTACTTCGGCTGATTTGCCTCTTTTAACATGCCAGCTTATGTCTAGGCAGACATACATAAACACTTGCACTCACATTTACACGTATCTGTATGTATATCTCTTTAATCCGATGACACGTAACCTCTGTAAGTAAGTACACCACCGACAGTAAGCAGCTCTACTACCTGCAGCCAGTCAAATAACTTACTATAGAGTCACAAATGCAGAAATAGAATAAAGCAGTTCACGTTTTAAATACAGCTCAGGGGATAAATTCATATTATTGCCCACCTTTAGTTAGTGCTGTGGTGCTCAAGTAATTTTAAGCAAATGATTCACTTATTTTCAAGGGGCTC